CTCGCATCACAACGCATTGCGATAGAAACCACCGCGAGATCGCATCTCTGTTCGAACTGTTCGCGTCTTTTTCGCACTTCGGTAGGGTAAGCGTGTCAGTAGCCGTGTCACTCCCTGTTTAACGCGCCCTTGAAATAATGTTGCTTATATTTAAAAACAACGTTACCAACCCTTTGCACACTGGACTATTTTAACACAAAAATGAAGACATTTCTTTCAATCCGTAGTATTTCCATTTTGTACGATTGTTTTTCTTTGATGCGTATAAAATTGAAAGTGTATGCTTATAGAAAATTTCTATTATTTGACAATTTATCGAATACCGACAAATTTAATAATGTAAAAAATCTTTTGAAAATAGTGCAGCAATTTTTAGCGTCACCTCAGACTCGCCACTCGAGTGCAGAGGGTTAAATTAAGGTTATTGAGTTTTTTTAAGTAAAGTTTGATCTGTTATTTTCACAGCCGAATCAGGACTGTAAAATTCGTGAGACTTATAAAATACGAAACAAAAGTATAAAATATTAAGTATAAAATAATAACAATATATAATATAATAATAATAATAATAATAATAATAATAATAATAATATATAATATAATAATAATAATAATAATAATAATATATAATATAATAATAATAATAATAATATAATATAATATAATAATAATATATAATATAATAATAATAATATTAAGTATAAAATACAAAAGTATGAACTATTGTATTCATAAAACTCGTCTAAATTNTATATTCCGGGCGTGTTCGATACGAAATAACCGGCGATTCACGGTTTATTAACGCGCCGAGAATACGGACGATCGTCGTTTTCTCGCGGACAATGTTCCTGTCGTTAGCAATTCCGTCACGGAGATCGAATCGAACCGTTTGAACGCGTTAACGCCGGTGTGTGCAGTGCGCACCGTGCACGTTGAACCGCGCCGTGCCGCCCCGCGCCGGCATTATGGGAACGCGAAGACCCGGATCATAAATATTGACTCGCATCACAACGCATTGCGATAGAAACCACCGCGAGATCGCATCTCTGTTCGAACTGTTCGCGTCTTTTTCGCACTTCGGTAGGGTAAGCGTGTCAGTAGCCGTGTCACTCCCTGTTTAACGCGCCCTTGAAATAATGTTGCTTATATTTAAAAACAACGTTACCAACCCTTTGCACACTGGACTATTTTAACACAAAAATGAAGACATTTCTTTCAATCCGTAGTATTTCCATTTTGTACGATTGTTTTTCTTTGATGCGTATAAAATTGAAAGTGTATGCTTATAGAAAATTTCTATTATTTGACAATTTATCGAATACCGACAAATTTAATAATGTAAAAAATCTTTTGAAAATAGTGCAGCAATTTTTAGCGTCACCTCAGACTCGCCACTCGAGTGCAGAGGGTTAAATTAAGGTTATTGAGTTTTTTTAAGTAAAGTTTGATCTGTTATTTTCACAGCCGAATCAGGACTGTAAAATTCGTGAGACTTATAAAATACGAAACAAAAGTATAAAATATTAAGTATAAAATAATAACAATATATAATATAATAATAATAATAATAATAATAATAATAATAATAATAATAATATATAATATAATAATAATAATAATAATAATAATATATAATATAATAATAATAATAATAATATAATATAATATAATAATAATATATAATATAATAATAATAATATTAAGTATAAAATACAAAAGTATGAACTATTGTATTCATAAAACTCGTCTAAATTACAGAAAAAACGATACGATAATCGACTTCTTAGATGTATTCTTTTATTTAAGGTAATTCGGTAACTGAAACAAAACGTCTTGTTTCTATGACTAACATATTAGAATCGTTATTTGGGCAATATTGTCTTATTCGTACACGAAATTGTACTAAACGGTGTACTTTTGCAATGCAAACATCGTAAACTCTACGATTTTTTTGAAGACAGGTTATTTCGCACGCTGTGACAGAAACAGGCATACACGAAATATCGGTAGATTTAGTGTTAATCCCCTCAAACATCTGCGGAATCATTCATATACTCGTCGTAAAATGTCTAAAAGCAGTTTCAGAAGTACTTCCTCCTATGAAACGAGCTGGGATCTTTAGAAGAGATAAGAAATTTCTACAAAGTCCATGAGAATCCATGTTTGAATGAAGATCTAGTGCTAAAGATTGTTTTGGATGTTGCATAAGCATACTTTTATTGGGTTCAATAACCGAAGATGTTTACTTTTGCGCTTGGTTGACGATTCCGAAGGTTGGCAATGCTCAAAGGCGCGCGCCGGCTGCCTGCTTTTCACCGTATAATTGGCGTCTGTTAACCAACTTTTCGCACGCGTTTTCTAGTTCCTGCAACGTCATCGATGCACATGCACATTATCGACGCGGATACAGCCTCGTTTCGCATCTTCCGACGCCGTTGACGTTTTCATACCGTATTTTTAGATCGCGAACGAAAGTCTAATGTGCCGTGGTCAGAGTCAATCTTCCGGAAATTTCAATTATCTCCGGATAGAAAATATTAATATTGCTAACGAGCCAGCGGCGAGTTTTATTGTGTAATAGAAGACATTAACGAGTGATGAAACAAGCCGAATGATCATTACGGTCACTGATTTTTATTCGATCGATACACGCGTGTCTCAAAAATAGCCTGAGTTTGTGATTCGGCTTTGTCATAGAAAAGTAAACAAAGAAATACATTTAGGTAAACCGTCTAAACTGCGCGAGAATGTAAATGTTATTATGGTTATTGGACGTTTCTTTTTTAAATTTTGCTTGCGTGATCTACGCGTGGCCTGTATCCTCGCCACAGATATCGTATCGCTCTAATTGTTCATTTGTCACATCGCGTATGGAAAATATTCCAATCGCTCGCATCGCTTCGAACCAACTATTTGCGCAAATTCGAGTTTAAATCAAGAAAACAAAAGAGCACTGTCGTGGATGTGACACTCTTACTTAGGGCAAGAAAATATAAAAAAAAAATACAAAAAAGAACATAAACGACCTATCTAATTCCAGTTTGAAACATTTGAAAGATCAGTTTTTTCACTGTCAGAATGCACAGAGTCAATGAGTTTCTCCTACGTTTACTGGCTGTATTTTTAATCTTTTTGAAACGTGGAAAAAATTGTTTTCCATACATTAATCGATTGCATCGAATGGGACAGAGTGTAACAAGATAAAGTAATATTGGTATTAACCCTTTGTACTCGTGCGGTGACTCTCAGGCACCGCTAAAAATTGTTCTATCACATACGAAAACAATTTTTAGATTATTCAATTTGTTTCTATTCGAAAAACTGTAGAGAGTGTAACTGTTGTATCAGTTACGCGACTGTTGCATATGATTAGAATGCACTGAGTCGTTTAAAGTGGAAATAACGTAGGTCAGGAAAGCTATGTTAAAATGGTTTCGAATACTTTTTCATTATTCGTTGTAAGTACATGTAATATTGTACGCTAACCTTAAATTACATAAAACATTTTTACATGTTTGGGTTAATGTCGCGTTTTAACATTTCACGACGAAATATAATCCTCTTACAATTAAGAGAACCCGGCAAGAATGAACAAAGATTTCTGGCAATAAAAATGCCTTAAAAATTAATGACACGATAAGGGAAAAACAAGTTTATGACACCTTTTATGCCGTGCGCTCTATTTATACATTTATTGTAGAGCACTAATATTCTGTTTGTTCGTTCAAACTTGGCGAAGACATCAAAAACTTAACTTGTTCAATTGCTATGATAAAAGAATACTACTCGAAGCTATATGTCAACATTCTTGAAGAAATACCTGATCAAATGCTAATAAATAAAAACTCGTACAATATTACGATATATTTTCTATCATAATATTGTACGAAGTATTGTTACTTTTGATCGAGTTTTTATTATTATTTATTTAGTTTTATTTAGTTTGGTTTTATCTAGTTTTATTTAGTTTTTTAGAGATTTTACTATTATTATTTTTATTATTTTATTATTATATATTATATATTTAGTATTACATATACATATTTCAAGCATAAGCCAAGCGTTAATGGCTGTCAAATTAGGTACGACTTGATATGCATTCGTATCGTTTTCTCTCCCTATTTTCTCGAAATCTCTGTGGACAGATGATTTTCGGATCATCAAAATTTCAGCCATCCGTCAGTCGTACGTCTAGAACACATGCACGATCTTCAAAACAATTTCCTTTACGAAATTAATTGAACATATCACAGGACGTATGAAAACACATTCGAGGCACGAACTTATGACACGACCTAACAGTTACAAAACGAATATAAATTTGTCATATAAAGATTCCGTTCGATACGTGTCCCATTCGCGGCAGTTCTCTCCCCCGAACAGTGAAACGAAACACCGCGACTACCTTCCGCCGCGTTCCGGCAAACACCTGAATCATTTCGTTCCGGGTTTCATGCGGTTACGTTCGTGACGAATCTGCATTTTTCAGCGCAAATCACTACCAAAATCTTGCAAGACCCAAGACAATGGAAAATTACGAAAAACTCAGATCGGGGAATGTCCAGCGTGACTCGTTCCCGGCAATCGATGATTCTGTTGTTTCCGATGATCGAAGGCGCCGCGGTCGATTAGCCGATTTAATTAAGTTGTTTGATAGCCATTAAGCTGTCAGAGATGCGCGGAAGACAATGGGAAGGATCCCGCGACGTCGATCCTGTCCGAGCTGGCGGAGGTGGGGAGAGGACGAGCGGACCGAGGGTCATCGCGGAAATTACGCGGCGTCAACGGCGATCTTCACCTTGGTCACGGCGGCGCGATGACGATCGCGGTTGGATCGATACGAATGAACGATAGCCGGTGGAGTCGTCGAAATCGTCCTGGCCGATTTCCTCGGGGAGGCGGCGGATAGAGCCCGACTATGACGCGGAAAAGGGCAACACGGTGGGAGTCGAATTATAAAAAGACGTTCGACGGTGAGAGGCTTTACAGTTACAAGTCGCGCGCTCGTTGGCTGCGAGGTTGTACCTCGCCTGCGATCACCTGCCCTATCACGCGCTCATACTGTGTTTATCTGGTGTGCCCATCCGCACTCGGGTAGTGCGATACACAATAGCGTCCGATCGATCCTCAAGCGCCACGCGTATTCTAGTCAATCGACCGACCGGTGATAGATTTTCAGGTAAAGTGAACGCCCGGCCCGCCGGTATTATGCAATCCGACAAGTGCCGCCGGATCGGGATCGCGAGATTCTAATAGCGGCCAGCAACGTTTCTGCGGACACCGATTTATGATGAAACCGCGAAGTGTCTTGTGGGGATCCTGTGATCGTTTCTGCGGCCGTTCGCCGTTTAAACCCCTAATCACCGACGCGATGGAGACCATAATTAATACTGTCACCGTGATACCGTAAATACCTTGCCCCCCCCCCCCCCC